AATTTGGGCTGTAGCTTTGGACTTTGGAGACCAGAGATCAATTCCTGCATAACCTTGGGTCACACTTAGTCTGTGTCTCAGTTCCCCACCTGTAAAATGGGGATAATAGCACTTCCCTACCTCTCAAGGGTATTGTGAGGATAAATTAAAGACTTTGAGGTACTTAGATACTACAATAATGGGGGCTATATAAGTACCTTAGATAGATATAGCAGTAGATAGGTCTAGACTGTACCATTCTACTATGAACATGCCTCCTTTCTTCTACCACATTCTGAACACTGTGCACTCCTAATGTGTGTTGGGGCAGAACAGCATTTTTGCTCTGATGTGTGCAGGGCCAGTAATTCTGCCTGGTCCTTCTGTAAGCCATGTACGGTGAGGAGAGCTCTTCATTGTACACTGTGTAAGGGCTGGACACAGACTGTTTCTATTTAAAGTCATGTGGGTATTTTTAACTCCAGTAATTCCACTACCTTTGGCAAAGAGATTTTCAAATGCATTTTGTGATAAAAAGTTTGGACCCAATTACATAGAAACTTATTACAAGGCTTGCGTTGAACTGAACAATATGCAAATTCTAACATGCCTTCTACTACTTCATTTTTAATATTATCTATTAAGGGATAAATCCTTTCTGTCTACACAGGTAAGTAAAGGAGAAAAAATATAAGGAGCCACAAGTCTTTGCATGAGAGCAGTGCAACTAAAATGTGTGTCCTACAGGTAATCTTCCTAGGCATACATGATGCAGTGGTGGGTAACTCCCATTAAAGAGACAGCACACATGATCTTCACTCAAAGGCTTCAGGCTGAGGGGAACAGTTAGCACAAAATTTGGTGATGTGTTTAGGCACTCTTTGGAAAGTGTATGTCCAGTAACGAGTAGTAAAAAGCTCTCTGCAGCACAATGAGACAGGCTTGCATATCACAGCCTGCCCTAGGATGGCAGGATTTGTCCTACTAACCTCACTTTACAGCATGCTGGGCTAGGAGCTGCAGCCCATATACTGGCTTTGATGTTTATGCCAGGATTTTATCCTATGGGTGAATTCCTGACCCCACAGTGTGAGTTTTGCCATTGATATCCATGGGGCCGAGATTTCATCCTGAGGCTACATTTACATTGGAGCTGGGAGGTGAGATTCCCAGCTCACATAGCTTGAGCTAGCGAGATAGCATGCCCGAGCCATCGCCCGTGCTACCCCAGATGCACTGCTATATTTAGCACCCCACCTTGAGCAGAGCCAGCACAGGTACATCTACACAAGGAATCACATCACCTGGCTCAAATGTAGATGTAGCCATCGTGTGTGTGAAGTATTGTTCACATACTACCTTTAAATTACAATAACTCTACTTCAGGAATGTCATTTATTTCAGAACTGTATAACTTCTTATTTTGTACATTTAGGACCTGATTTTTTTTAAAGGGATTCAGCTGAGTCTCAGATTTTGAGGATGCAGTTCATAGCACCTGAGTGTGTAATGACCTGATCGCTGCTGCTCTCGTTTGTAAAGGAATATGACTGGTAAGATAAGCACGCTAAAATATTTCATAAATGCTTTTGTAAATGTACATGTGTATTATAGCAATTCTGTCCGTCAGAATTTACCTTACAAAACCCTGATTTCAGGGATACCAACCCTAACGTGTACCAGGGAGAGAGGACAATCCAAGAGGATGGACTGGATGACCTTATAGGGCTTTCCATCTCTCTCTTCTATGATTCCTTAGCACTTATTCCTTAACACTTCTGCGATTCCTTGTACTCTGAGCAGCACCATGGAGTCTGACAAGCTGACAATTTCTTTTTAAAGTAAGTGTAAGAGAAATCCATTTGTCTCCTTTAATTTGCATGTGTACCAACTAGAGTAAAAATTAGTGCTCAGATAAGATGCTTTTTAGATGTGTGTGTAACTTAAAAGAAGATTGAGTTATTTTCAAATGTTCTTTGCCAAAACATTATTTCACAACATGGACTAATCTTTTCTAATATTTTGAAAAAGGAAATTTATAAAAGAATCTATATAAATCTGTTCTGGGGGATGTAATGTTTAACAATGACACCTTTTTGCTAAGAGGGATTTTCTGGGACTCCATAAACTATCAGGGCCTCTTCTTAGCCAGATAAGTCACACTGTTGAAAAATCATGTGAATCCTGGTAATCCTCTCATGCATGTCCCATGGTTCCCCCCTGAAAGGACAGCTGAGTTCTCCCACAAGAACTCATCCCAGCACAAAGAATCATGGGTTACGGTCCTACACACACACATGTGAGTGCAGAAACAGAGAGGACACTGTAACAGGAGCGTGGCTTTGCTGTGGGAATGCTCACACTCAGACTAGGATAACCCAGATGCTGAGGCCTAGGTGCCAATCACCTGGGTTAACTGCCCAGTGTAGAAACACCCTTAGTCTAAAAGTGCCAGATCTAGTTCATGTATACCTGATAAAATTTCTTTAACCCTTTCAGTATTTCATATGAAACACTTCAACTTCTGTACATATCGCTGAATGCAACATTCTGGTTTTTTTTTTTTGTTTTTTCTGGCTATTCTATTTGCCTTTGCTCCAAAACGATAGGTTCAGTGAATTCTGTCAGGCCGTGGATGATTTAACAACTATTGAATTTTGAAAGGCTAACAATCCCATCAGATAGTCCATAGTCTGATGCACTGAATTCTTCAGGTGTGGAATGTGCCTATGCCATCACAGCAATAATGCAGACTTTTAAACAAAACAAAGCAATATACTTAAAACTCCAAGAGTAAAGTCCTGGTCCCAATGAAGTCAATTGCAAAACTTCTAATGCCTACAGTGGAGCCAGGATTTCACCTCAAAGTCAGAACTAATATGAAAATTCTGAATAATTTAGATTTTTCTGATCTGAATTATTTCCATGGCAAGAGATATTTGTAACACAATATACCACTGTGAATGTTATTAAAAACTGGAAATGTATCACCCTCAGTTGTTACATAAATAGTATTTATAGTATTTCCCATTTCAAGAAGAGGCAATATATAAGTATTAGCTGTCCATTTGTAATGGAAATCACCGTAAAGTGTGTCTAAACTGCAACACAGTAATAGAAAAAGAGCAAAGAAACCAATGCATTTGCAGCACATTATTTATCTACTGAGAAATTACTAAGAAGATGTTTTATACAAAAAGATACATGATTAAATCATAGCACTTAGCTACGGCACTGCAGTAGGCATGATGCAGAGCCACTTCACCCCAGAGAGACATTCTGCCTTAAAGGGAAGCTTCCCAGTTGTGCAAGAGGAGGATGTAATCTCTGACATCACTTTAAGGGGCACAACACAGATGGTACTTGGAGGGGTGAGGCATGTCTCCACCTACTCTGTGCCCTTCCCCACCACTTTTCCATTGAGGTGCACCCAGATGAAAGCAACTAAGTACCATCTCTTCTGCTCCTTCAAGCACAAAGGCTGTGATTCTGGGCAGCAATCCTGAGGGCATGGAAGGAAGGGACCAGAGGTTTCTTACTCCATTGTGCCACCTTGCTATATCTCAAATGTGTGCTGCAACGCAAGGACTAGCTATAATCAAGCCCATAATTTTTGTTTCTTTCTGAAAGGTCTCCAGAAGTTGTCCCCAAAATACAGTTTGCATCATTTTTAATATACTGCAAGATCCTGTCTCTAGTACTTTGATACTGTATTTATTGAGGCTGATATAGTACTCATTTGCAGTAGGTTTGCACTAATTAGCACATAATATATTGATATTAATTGGCAGATTATTTTTAAGTATACAGAAACTACATTCCATTTTTTAAAAACTTTAAAAATACCTAATGGCAAATAATTAGAAGCCATATTGTTTGTTTTGCTCTCCTGAATGAAAGGTAGAGGGATACTGCAACTCCCAGCCAGGTGCATGCAGAAGAGAGGAGGTCTTGTCTAGCACAAGTGCTTTCTCCTTGTCTGAGTTTAAAAATAATGCTTTTGTTGGATAATTCTGAAACTGCATCCCTTGTCTCAATTAAGTTGGAATCTGATGAAACAGAAAGGCAGCTCAGGGGAATTCATCACAATCTCCTCCAGGTGGGAAATCAGCTTCAGCCACCAGAGATTGTTAAGCACATTACATGAGTGTTGCGCTTGGTTGAGAGGCTGGGAAGTAGTCACATTCCATCACAAACACACAGCTGTTAGTGCCCCTCTGTTGAATGATTAATGGAGCAGCATTAATGGTGACCTTTGAAAGAGGAGTGGGAGTAATAAGGGTGTCAGGAAAATATATCTTGGGAAGAAAAAAAAAAGAGTGTCCATGAGAATCTTAAAATGGGCTCTGCCCACACTGGAATGATCTGGCAGAATCCTTAACTGGGAGAACAGAATTTAAAAAATACATTTAGGAAGACATCGTTAATATATTTATACATTATATCTTGTCAAGAAACCTTTCTACGTATGTTTGAAAAGCATATCATATTGCTCCACGGGGTTATTTATTTTGTTTGCAATCCAGTGCAGTATTTTTACCCTTCAACCGTTCTTCCTTTTATTTCACCTAAAGTGGAAGTTCAGCATTTTATATCGGAAAGAGGCATCATAGTTCCTCACTTGCTAGCGTGCAATTAACAAATGTAAAATACTATAACATGATGTTAGTAGGTTGAATTCCTGTAAATCTCATTTATTCCCATCTCATTTGCTAATAAGCCTAAAATATATGCCTTAATCTCCAGGACCTCGATAAAAATTTTATACAATGAACAATGGAAAAGGGAGCCTTCATCATTCTTTTCACTGCTACAGTGAGACAAAGGGCTCTTTCATTCAAACAGCAGCAGATATACAGGATCAAAATTATATACATTGGATGTAAATTATCCTTCCTCAAGTCTCCCCCACCCCTATTCCTCATCAGAAGTCTGACTGAAGGGTAAACAGTTAAATGCTTATATGGTGATGATTAGCAAAAAATAAACAGAGCAAGTACTAAAGCTGGCTTTGCACCTACTGAATGCTGCAAGTGTCTGTACTCATTTGATATGCATCTAGCAAAGCTTGGTTGTTCCCAGAAGGCCACTCCATGAACACTGAGAGAGCAGCGTCTGCTAGTGGTGCCTGTGAGTCATAAAGAACAGAGAAAATATTTATATATATATATATATACCTGAGAATAGTCAGAGTGAACAAAGCCTATGGAGGGTACATTCTATGTTATTTTAGAGCACACACAGAAACAATTTTATGCAAATGAGCATCAGCAGCATTCAAAGAGCAATACATGTTTCTGTAACAGATTTCCTGTGTCATATAATTGGCATTTAGGAGTTTTAATTAGAAGGCTTTATGATCTGCTTGATTTTCAGCAAAATGCCTGATACATCCTGGCCATTAATTATTACTCATTATATTATATATCTTTATATATTTCACTTTAGTATCTGGGCAACGGTTAGATGTGTTTGAATGCAGGTGGAAGGGCAGTTTTAGCAAAAAAGAAAACAATACATCCCTCTATTGTCAGCATGTAAATTTGATGTACTACTGTACCTGTGGCATTGAGAGGACATCGATTGAATGCCATGTCACCAGCTGGGGTCCTTTTCCACACCATTGACATCAAATAATCTTCAGGACATATTTCATAAGGTGCTGTGATTGAAAAATGAGTATTTGAATATAGGCTTTTGTAAAATGTATACATTGCGTATCAGAAAAAATACATCCTCATCCTTAACCCCATACTCTCCGAGAAATGCAGATTGTTGTCTTTAGGGGCTCATTTTAACATGCTTTAGCACATAAACGTAAGATCTCCTTTGATTTTTGTATAGGATCTCTCTTCCTGCTGGGCTTTCATTTCACAATCTGTTGCATTTACTCTCTCTCTCGCCTACATACATACATATGCAATATTAACTCTTTTAAAAATGTACCACATTGTACCAGTTTCTATTTAAAACATTTCGTCTCTGTTGTAAATCATTGTGGTTAATAGGCATGAAAAATGCATAAAACTCTTTGAGGTTTTTGTGTTTGTTTGTTTTTTAACTTTAGTTGCACCCAAAGCAATTATTTTAAAGCCATTGCTGAAACATTAAATGTGATAAGCATGTCAATTGTGAAGCAGATATTCTGGAAACAAGAGAGTAGGTCACTACTTCTTTTTATATGGCTTTTATTGCAATTGTGTTGTTAGCGAGGCCAATAATCTGAAGCAGAGTGGCTATAAGCCAAAATGACGTTTTCTGATTATCACAAAAAAGTTTTTAAAAGGAAAGGAAATTACTTTCACATTCCCATGGTAACAGACTCCTACTAGCAAATATGGACAAGGTAAAAGAAAACTACATTGGTAGTATTTTCACATAATCAAGACTTCTAGATTCCTTTTGGTGTTCAATATTTTTGTTGTAGCTTCCCAGTTAGTGAACATTTTTTTTGAATGTATTAACTCTAAAAAGTCCCCATCTTGACAGATATGTCTAACCATTTGAAATGATGCAAAACACTAGCAGCTCAAATCATTCCAAAGTAGCAGAGAAAAATGGTGAATATTTTTTTTCTATCATTGCCTGTATTAGAGTAGAAACTATGAACCTTTGTACTAAATGCAGTATCTACTCATAATAAGAAGTCCATTCCTCAAAGCACATATTAGACAAGATAAAGGGTTAGAGAAATGAAGTATAATTGTTGGCACATTCCAGATAGGGAAGTGAGGCACAAAGGGATTAAAGGATTCACCATGGTTATACAGGAAAACTATGGCTGAGGCAGGAACTGAACCCCAGTATCTTGAGTTTAACTCCAATTCCTTTTCCATAAGATAACCCTTTCCCTGTACTTCTACTGACAAAACTATGCAGAGTTTTGCATAAAGCAGTGAACTCTGTCTTTGTGGATGACAAATAGCTCCTTGCAGATGGCTCAGTGATACTAATATGAATCACAGCCGTTTCGAAAATTGCTTGCTAAATTTGCCTCAGCATCAGCACTCCTGAATCGTAAGTCAAGGAACGTTGATGTTGCTAGAGAAGCAAGAATATCCCTTAATGGCAAAACCCTAAGAAAGTGAGCTGTTTCACTTATCCAGAATACTAATTTGCTTCAGATAAGGCAGTCTAAAAGTGAACTCATGAGGCCAATGTTCTAATGGGGGAAAGCAAGGGATGCATGATCAATGGGGAACATCTGGTAACACAAGCATGTTGAAATTACTGTCATACTTTGTCCTTGTGAAAAAAAAAGTGATGTTAAGTGATGGTCTTTGGGGTCTGAAGACTGACACAGCCTACCCAGGTGCTGACTTACAACTGACTTTCTTTTTCTTCGGGGTCCTTCCCCTTTATATTGTCTACATAATGTCCATTTTGGCTTTACAAGTTTGCTCAATCTGTTTTATCCCAATTCAGTCTCCATCCAACACTCTAAAAACAGATTATATAGAATCACAGAGTGAAAGGTTGCTTGGATGCTTTGGGGGCAGAAATTCTCTCTTTATATATAGTTTAAATATGGTAAATTTGCATTAGTTTAAAATCAATTTTCCTGAGCCTTTTAGGGTTAGAAGTGTTGGTTCCCATTGAGAAGCAACAGTACAAGATAATACCATTTATATTTTTGAGGATGATTTTATGTATAGAAAAGCTGTCATGGTACTTTTGTTGATGTACATTTTGTGGGAAATTCCATATCTGGGAGTGAAGTAGTGAATATTTCTCTAGAAGGTTAGTATAAAAAAAGTGGTTGTTTGACACTGTTCAGGAGGTTAGAAAGTTATTGCATAATTCTGCAATTTATCACATGGCTCTTAAATTTATCACATGAATTAATACCACATATGTGTAGGTGATGGGTGATAAATTATAGGGCTATGTGATAAATTATAAAGCCCTTTGATAAATTAATTGATCATACACGTTAGACCACTTCATATGCTCTCTGTTCACTAATCTATCACCTCAGGACTTACTTTCACATTCCAAACTCCTTTCCCTTCCAAATATTGAATTTTATATGTGTGTGGCCAAATGTAATTTATACATTTTATTTGAAAGAGAGTTGAAGGTAGAAAATGTGTGGAGAGCTTTCAACTATTTGGAAGTGTGCCAAGGTACTGCATTTTAAGTAGGAAGTAAAACAGACTGAGAACAGTACTGACCTATTTTGTTTCTATTTGTAGTGGCTAAGTTACGTGTGTGGGGGTGTTTTTTCACAGAATTCAAACCCTCTGCAGTGCTAGAAGCTTAGAGCTCCACTCCTCAGCTACAGCTTGGGGGAGCACAGAGCAACTCAGGATTAGGGGCTGGACAGATGGCTTTGTGCTATTTTGGTCCTCCAGTCTGAGTGCTAGTTAATTGACACTGTTGCGGTAGCTGAGGATCACCAGGATGCTGGTCAGTAAGCCACTTGAGTATATTTGTAAATGGGGATGTCACAAAGGTCTTTTCCCATGCTCTGTTAACTTCTGTTTCAGCTAATAACCCTCAACTTCTATGCATTTTCTCCTCTCTGCCTATGATTGCTGATGATACAGTATTGTATTACAGTGTGCCATCTTGGCCCCAAGATATAAACTTATTAAATTCTGACTATGAGAAGTTGGAGGCATGGTTATTCTTTAATGAGTTGATTTAAAATTAAATTAAAACAAAAACCATGGATTTGCATTCACCTCCCAGATTACAGGAACTGATTACCTCACTAATGATGAAACCAACAATGGGTAATGACATTAAGTGGGATGTCAGGTAAGTAATTTAAATACTGTAGAATCTGGCTAGCTCCTTCTCCTACTTCTAGTTTAGCAAACATGGATTATATCTAAACATTTACCATGTTGACGAGCACAGTATACAAATGAAGCAGAATGTTCTCTTCATGGTGCACTCAAAATGGGGAATAATGTACAGAACAGCTTATACTGTGTAAGTATCTACATATCTGGACACATGATGATTTATGATCATGTGACCTTTGTAGATTGTGACCTTTGTAGACTGTGCCAAACTGAAGGCGAGGAAGGGGCCAGAAGAGACTAACACAGAGCAGCTATTTGGAGAAGTTCTCACTGAATCCAGTGGACTAACTGGGACGCTGAAGACCACAGTGGCCCTCAGAGTAGCCTTGTGGGTAACATGTGAGCTTGAATTTCTATTATTCTGTTTGTGTGTGTTCTGTGTTACTGTTGTAGTAATTTTTAAATATTTTTAACATGGACAATTGATACAATCATTTGCATCATTTATTGGCATAAATTAGAGAATGTGTTGAGTGTCCAGAGAAGGTAACTATCTCCTTCTAATACAAGGCAGAGACACGGGACCATAACCCAGTGTCAAGGACACCAGGATCATGGGAGCAAATTTGGCAAACCAGCTGTATTGCACATAATGCCTTTCCCTCAAACTGTTCCATTACAGGACAAATCTTGTTTCCCACATGTAATCTCAGGAAGCAGGTGGGGCACAATGGGAATCTGTGGAGATGGATAGAAAAAAATCCTTCCCTTTAGGCCACTCTGGGGCTGCTGCTTTCTTTCTCCCAGACACTGTGGATGTTCAGCAGGTGGATATTCATAGCTGTCTCCACCCACAAAATATTTCTTGGCCCTTCTGCAGATGTTGCTTCCTGAAGCACAGCTCTGTGGCATGCAAGTGCTGCAGCTCCCCTTTTGTGGTCTCCCAAGAGCAAGCCCCACATTTCTTGGTGGCAGTTCAGCTGCCTATTGGGCACTGTCCTTTAAGAGGGAGCAGGGTCCAGGGCACTAGGACTAATTACCTGCTTCCCAAGAAGACTTAAGGGAAAGCTACTGAGCCTTACAACAGGGGAGACAGCAGGTGGTTGGGAGATGCCTGAAGGCACTGAAGGAAGTAAGCTGGGAAGGCCTCTGGAGGTGGCTGAACTCCAGACATAAGGTAAGCAGAAAGATAGACCCTTAGGGAGGAGGGACTGTGCCCAGCTTGGGATGGAGTTGAAAGAAATTAACTAACAAACTTTTAAAGAGAGGATACTCCCTCAGGGAGGAGGGGCTGGGCCCAGCTGAAACTGGGATGAAGACTTTGTAAGTTTGAATTTTCTTTTAAAAGACTTTGTGCAGGATTTAATAAATTGAAACCCAGAAGGGGGAATGTGTTGACTATCTGTCCCGTGTGGACTTTTTAAGGGAACCTGAGTTAAGGGAAAAGTGAGGCAGGCCTCAGCAGATCCATCTTGGCTTTCAGGGGGTGCTGCAGGACTGGCATGCCCTTTGACAGACACCCACAGAGAGGAAAGGAGGAAGAAATAGCATTTGCCTTCATATTAAGTGTCTATAACTAAAACTGATTTGCTTACAGTGAACACTGATTATGGGAGGCCGGCTTTGGGGACTACGACCCACAACAATTGTAGGTTGGGGTTTTTTTTTTGCATGAAAACCGCCACCTGCATTGTTTGATCTGGGATAACTTTTAATCCTATATTTTAATAAGCCCTTCATTATAAATTTAACTAAAATGGTGACAGATTTATGTTAGTTGCATTTAGACAGTCCCAAGCATTATTTTGTTAATACCTTTCTGAAGATTACTGAATAAGAATCTATGCCGGTTGTCCCCCTGAGATGGAAGTGAGCTGTATCGTGGGCTGGCCCAATGAGCAAAATATAA